TCTGGAACTCTGGTGCCTAGACCTGAATAAAGTATTCCAGGTGAGGTTTGACCAAAGCAGAATGAATTTGGTTCAAAGTATGCAAAGACCCTGACTAGACAGAACATTCAGTCAATTAGAAAGTTTGTTATTTAAGAAAGATGTATCTTATAGTCAAAATGCTAGAAACTTCTCTTTTAGAAAATAGAAACATGATGGTACTATGTGTGAAATCCTGTTTAATGCCGTAGCATGAAGGAGGTCTTGGAAATATGCTTTAGCCCACTCCTAATATGAGAAGAGGGCTAAAGCACGGAAGAACTGACAGTTTTCAGAATTATCTGGCTAGCATCCTCCTGGCCATCCTGGCTTGAGCATAATGGGAGATGTAGTCAAAAAAATTTTCCCCAAAACACCAAATTTTCAAGCTGTGGATTTCACTTATTGTTTACTCAATTCTATTTTCCATTGCAAAACAACAACAACACAACTCTTGATTACTGCAGTTTAACTAACACACACTGTAAAGTCTGCAATTTTCAGCACAGCACAGAGCATCTCTTTGGTTTGTATTCTGGCAAGGACAGAAAAGAAAATGTTGTTGGAGGGGGGAAAGGACAATGATAGAAAGAAGCTAACCCCAAGCCCGCTCACTGTCAAGACAAGATTATCACACTGTCCATAAGAAAGGCCCTTCAAACGAACAATCATTTAAGTGGATCTACGTCTTTGGGTCACCTTGGCAAGGGAAAAGTACTTCACATTAAGATGAAGAACAAGACATCAAAGGATACTCATTAGAAGATGTGATTCCTGATGGATAATTTAAGTGCCAAGGGAAAGTCAAGGATATCAAGCAGAAGGGGCCATGCAGCAAGCATGGTTTCAACACTTGTTGGGAGGAATGCAGAATTCTTTTAGCAGTCCAGAAATCATTTTTTAAACAAAATATCTAGCAAATTTTCAAACCTTAAAAAGCAAAATTGCTCTCTGGACACCATGCAACTTCAGTTTAGAACAATTTAAATCACACACAGATTTGCTCTGCCCAGAAGCAGAGTACTAAAATTGCAAAAGGGATAGATGAAACAATCTATGCCTGATCTTACTGCCTTTCCTGTGTCTCCATCTGATAGTCTTTTTAAATCCTGTCTAAACATTTCTTCCTCTTAAAAATTTGGTTTACTAAGCTTGTTTTCTTTTAAAACAGACATTGTAGGTATGCTTTTAGAAAAACTGATATATTTATTGAGCCTGGACCTACATTGGAACATTCAGGATGTTGGATAATGATGGATAATTAAGTTTCAATTCTCACAAGAGGTGTGGATGAAGTAAGTTCATATAGGGGGGAAGAAGACAGCTAAAAGGGCCGTCTTGGGGGCAAGGAAGGGGATGGGCTGCCACATGGTGAGTGCCCCAACCCCTTCCCAAAGTCATTGTCGGAGCGCTGGCCCCTCCGCATGGCCGGCACTCCGACAATGACTTCCCGCCGCAGCATTCGCAAACTCTACAGCGGAAGAGTCGCCAAAGGTGCACCACCTGTCTTTTGCAGTGCACCTTCAGTGACTTGTGGAAGGAGCACTATTTTAGCGCTCCTTCCAGGGATGGTGAAGCTGTGCCACGGGACCAAGGTGTGGAGATACCTCGGCCCCACGGCGCAGCTTCCCGGGGCGGCCCATGGCTGCCCATCTGCTTAGCCCAATAGTCTTGCAAACATTAACTCTCTTAAGTATCTTGAATCCACAGCACAAAAGGTTGTTATAAGTTTGTTGTTGTATTTGTTGTGTGCCTTCAAGTCATTTCCAACTTATGGTGACCCTATGGTGAACATATCAGGGTTTTATGGGGATACAAGTGTGTGACTAGCCCAAGGTGACCTAGTGGGTTTCTATGGCTGAATGGGGAATTGAAGCCTGGTAGTACAATGCTCTAGCCTCTATACCACACTGGCTTTCTTTCCCTATTTAATTAGAAAGTAAAATTATTTGGAATATTGTCACTGAGATTGTGGTGTTCATTTATAATTGGGCCCATGAAATCTCAGGAAATGGTACCCTAACACACCGACAATGTGCCCCTGATGCTCCCTATTTTTACTGCTGACAGTGCTGTGACTGTGATGTTAGAGGGAAGGATTGTATTCTGTGGAAACTAGGAGGAAACCTCCAAGGAAACTAGGAAGGAACCTTTCCACTCAAGCATGCACCAGTATATGTTGGAAGTGTGGATGTGGCCCTTTGCTTGCATGTAAAGCATGTACTGTTTTTTCTCCCCCCCGCCCAGACTCCTCAGCCAGTATGTAGATAAACCAGTTCACTCACCCTTGGGGATATATTGCAATATACAAGGCTGAGTCCTCTGATGACAATTAAGCTCTTGAATTACAGAGCTATAACCTTATCCAAGGTAGGCACTGCTGTGTCTGAAAACAGTGACTTCCCAAACGTGAGTATGATAAATGGGAGCACTTTCTCCTTGTTTGAGACACAAGTTTTATGTGACTATATTGCAGCAGCAGGATGGGGAGAAAATCATTCATTTGTGTTTGTAAATATTATTGACACTGGCAGCATATTCTTCCCCCCACTCCACCCTCCCTGAGATCTGAGATTTATTACATTTTACTTCAGAGCAATATGAGTTCACTGGAATTTCTCCATGTAGGATTTGAGGATTGCCTTCCTGCTGCAAACTCATTCGCTTTTCAGATTCTTCAGACAGAAAAAGGAGAGAGCGAGAGAATGAATTCTCTCCCACTCCATCCTCACATACTAATTTGTTTGCTTCCTTAACTGAGTTGATAGCCTATGGAAGCTCGGTCTTGATTTGCCTGGGCTGGATCACATCCTGGCAATGACATACACAGAGACCTCATTTTTAACAAGAATTGTCAGGTGAGAAATAATCACTTTTTCCATGGGCGCTTATAGAACTAATAACACTAGGCTCATCTGGAATCTTCTGGAGCAGCTCTTGATAGTCACAGTCACACACACAAAATGCCCTTTCGAGAGATCTTTTTGCAGATACCCCCAGACAGAGACCAACTGGGTTCCCAAATCTTAAGACCTGAACTTCCTCTCTGGACCTCAGGACATAGGAGAGGAATCTCAGGATCACTTTGACAATTAGATGTTCATCTCTCTGTTTGATACAGAGTGCTACAATTTTCAACTGGAGAAATATTTTCTCTTTTATTATCTTTCGTATATTTTAATTGAACTGTGCACTATGAG